AACTGCGGGGAACCATGCAAAAAACGCATCTTCGCACGGGCAGCCCATGCGTTGGCCAATTATTTATCTGGTCAAGGGTTTCTGGTTTGTATTCCCTTCTCCGACCTGTGTTCTTCCAGTCTGATCTTTTTCGAATTACAGGGGTTTCTTTTCTCGGACTCCAATTGCACCGTTTGTTGCAATTCCACAAAACGTAAGTGATGGCGTGTAGCGTTCGTCTGGCATTTCGGCCATTTCTAACGCTAGGTACGTTTCAGATTGCAAGTACAAACACACACATATTCGTGTTACGATGTCGCTGTTCCGTTATCATTCCCCGCGCGACTGTTTCCTCACATCGCCAATGGAGCGTTTCCTTGCGAACGCACTGGACAACGCTCTCGCCGAGCGACCGCTGCACAGCGTGGCGCCATATTGGCTCAATCAGCCGCTGCTCAACGAGTGCAACATCGGCAATAGCGTCGGCAAGGTACTTCTTCCTCTCTTGGCGCTCCGATTCGTTAGCCAGATAGCTTCCTACATCTCAGAAGTGCTGCGAGTTTCAACAGTGTACCAATGACACAAGTCAAACTAACGAGAGGGTGACTGCAAGAGCGTACTACGGAAAACTGCCAATTCGGGAACGAGATAAGCTCAAGGCTTTGATTTTAAGGGAATATTCTCCACTTATTTGCGACTAAAAGATTTCAAACTTAACTCTTCTGGTGTGACTTTTTTTGCGGACCAGCACCTTTCCATTTGCCGGGTCACTGAAACCAAAAAAAGTTTGCTCCATGACTTGAAACTGCAGAAGAACTAGTGCTGCTTTCAGCACGTTTCGAAACCGAACCTCCCTCAAGCCCTAAGTTCTTTATCTCCTTCGACGCTATTTGAAAATGATACCATTCCCATTCCGGTTACTTCGAAAGCTCTGTTGCTGAAAGGAAATTTTGGAGAGGAAAGAACTGAGAAGAGGAGGGTTCTGTTGCAAAAGGAAAAAGGTGCTGGTATCAGCAAGGACTGATTTTAGCGGCTAATTTTGTTCGCCTTGCCCAGTTGCCCTTCGATTCCGTGTGATATGCAAATGTCTTGTCTGATGGCTCAAGTTCCTCCTCCGTGATATATAATTAGAAATGAGGTGTGATTATTGTTTTGTGTTCCACTGTGTTGTGCGGCAGTAGTTTGGAGCTGTTTCTGGTTCTTCCCCTCGTCCTGGCACATTGTGCGACAGCAGCTTGGAGCTTTTTTTTTTAAAATAATGCATTTGTTGACTTGAGTCATTGCGCCCGTACATAGAGGCACACCCTTTTCGGCCCTCCACGCGTTACAGTATGATATAATTTAGGTTATCAACGATAGCGAGAAATTTTTGGTGCAAGTAGACGTTGCGCAGTTCCATCCGAAAGATTTGTCGGTGTCGGTTCGCGAACAGGAGCTCGTCATTGAGGGGCATCACGAAGAGCGCGGCGACCAGCGCGGATACGGCAGCATCGAGCGTCATTTCGTCCGGAAATACGCTTTGCCGGAAGAAGTCCAGCCGGAAAGCATTGAATCGCATCTGTCCGATAATGGAGTGCTGACGGTTTTAGCGAAAAAACGAGCAATTGGAGCACCTCCATCCCGTAATATCCCAATTCGAGCGGCACCAAAGGCAAAAGGAGCTGATGGTGATCACACCGAGGAGACAGCGCAGAAGTAAACGATGATGATGATGATGGTGATGATGATGAGCGTTGCTTTTTTTTCTTACATTATTTTCTTTTAAGTTCTCGCTGTTGTAGCTAATAAGAGAAATATCCAGACTACCAGGATTGTCAGGTGTAGGTGTATCCCACATGCCAGGCTGTTTAATCTTGCACTGCATACATTCAGCAATCCTTCGATGACAAGTTTTAATTATTATTAGTAGCTGGTATGGTGTGACAAGTCGTGGACCCCATACTGACTTCACTAAGACTATTTCGCTGGGCTTGAAAGTTTGGCATACCATTCACAGCAAAAAGGGATCAAATATGACTCAAAAAGAGGGAAGCCGTAACATCAATGCCGAGAATTAACACGTTTTTGATTGCAGCTTCCTGTTGGCAAACTTCCACGTAAAATATTGTTATGATCCGTACGTGTTGCTTTGGCCTCATTCATTCATCACATCAATCGTGTTCTTTTTTGCGTTATTTTTAAACTTTTTGTGTTGCTGTTTTAATAAAAAATGCACAAAATCTTCATTTGCAGTCTTACGTCATCTTGAAATAAAAATAGAGGTATCTGACCCCAGGTTCAGTTAAAATAGCGTCTGAATTATCAGCAAAAATTGGACACTGGAAGTGCTACTGGATTACTGACTGAAAAGCAGCTTAGACGAAAGCCTGAAAACTTTTCATTCAAACAATTGCACGAGACTGCCACCTTTTTCAAGAGAATTTCCTGTTATACTAACTTCTCGATAAGAAGTTTACACATAGACATAAGCTACAGGGTCTGATTATCGTAAACTATATCAAAAAGTTGTAGTCTGAAATGTCATTCGAACATAAAAATAATTTTAGAAAATCGGCGCCTACGAAAATGAAAAAGCATTTGTGTTGGTGTCGGCCTGCTAGCAATCTGCCGTTCATTTCTTCAATGGAAATGCATAAAATAAATGCTGAAGTCCAGAATAATGTTTCAAAGTACAAAATGTAATAATTGGCCAACGCACGGACTGCCCGTGCGAAGATGCGTTTTCTGCATAGATCCCCGCAAATTTTGTCGCTAACGACACTGGTTCTTTGGCGGGCTCGTACGTGGGTAGTACGCGGGTGATGGCGCCCATTTTGGGGGCCGGCACGTGCATGTAGATTAAGTTCCCGAAATTTCAGCCCCGCAGCTTTTATAGGTCTTGA